GTTTCTCATGATGTACTCTGCATGTAAGTTAAATAAGCAGGGTGACAATATACAGCCTTGACGTACTCCTTTTCCTATTTGGAACCAGTCTGTTGTTCCATGTCCAGTTCTAACTATTGCTTCCTGACCTGCATATAGGTTTCTGGAGAGGCAGGTCAGGTGGTCTGGTATTCCCATCTCCTTCAGAATTTTCCACAGTTTATTTTGAGTATGTATATATACATATGTATAATAATATATAATTTACATATAGCTAAAATAAAGATTGGATAATCTAAAACTCAGAAATATATTAATAAAAACTAACCCCAGGTGCTTTCCAGATTTGTGTGATCTAAGATAAATAAAAGATAGTTTAAATTCACTGGTGTAATTAAAACAGGCATGTTTGTAGAGTTAGCAGCATCAAGTATAAAACTTTTTATTTTACCTGGAGTAACTGATCAGGTAGGTTCATGTTGTCTCTGTTAAAATTTTGTCAACAGGAAAGTAATCGAAGTATGACTGTTGGGAGCAAGTAATAGATGTAAGATTAAAAGCTTTTAGGTGAACTCTTAAGCAGTAATTATATTTTAGGTGTCCTTAAAATATTTTCCCAAATCTCTTTGGTAACTAGAAACTTTAAGGATTTTATAGGTTAAAGAATAGAGGTTTACTGAATATCTGGATTATTTCCAAATGGAGTAAAATACTGATATTTTAATTACAAAATGCATGTTCAACTACTTTTGGCTTCCTACTACAGAAAATCTAAAGAAAAAGAAGCACATGATTCTAAAAATTAAAGTTTCCAAGGGTTAAAAATTATAATTAATGCATGTAATTAAGACAACTAGAAGAGTTCAGCTCTGTATGTAAGGACACTATGGTGTATTTTGGTTTAAGGAGAAGTCTGAGGAATAAAGATGCATCTTTGTTGAAGGAAATGAGAGCAATTTTGTCTAAATTAGAACTTCTGATTATTTCAGAAGAGAGTAAGGGAGAATCTTCCCTTGTATAAACAAATTGGCTAAAACTGAACTATAAAGGTTTTTAAAAATATGCTCAATATTAGTAGTATAGTTACATAAAACTAAGCTTGATTTCCTTTCATCTGATAAAAGGGTATTTTATTATTACTTTGGCCAAATAGATAATTTAAATATTGTTTCACAATGATCTGTGGTTCTATTTAGTCAAGTGTAAAAACTTTTGTTAATCAGACAGCTTCCCCAAATCAAATGCTATATAAAGTCCTTTTAATCTCTAGTTAAATTTCAGATTTCTCAGGGGGCCCCTGAAAATGCTCCTATAATTTATTCTCTCACCTCATAAAAAGGGAGGTGTTATACTAATTCAGGCTTACATGAAATGTTAAATTACATAGTTAAGTAAGTAACATTAAGCCTTCTTTATGTTATATCTGTATAGATATGGTACAGTTCAGTTGCTCAGTCGTGTCTGACTCTGTGACTCCATGGACTGCAGCACACCAGACTTCCCTGTCCATCACCAACTCCTGGAGCTTGCTCAAACTCATGTCCATCGAGTCAGTGATGCCATCCAACCATCTCATCCTGTTGTCCCCTCCTCCTCCTGCCTTCAATCTTACTCAGCATCAGGGTCTTTTCTTTTTTTTTCAGGTGGAGTTAGATTTATGAAACAACAAATAATTTTTTATATATAAAGATCAGTAAACCCAAAGATTAGAATGTTTCAGTTATTATGCTGCATACTTTACTTTTTTTTTCCTTTTTATTAGTTGGAGGCTAATTACTTTAGAATATTGTAGTGGGTTTTGTCATACATTGACATGAGTCAGCCATGGATTTACATGTGTTCCCCACCCCGATCCCCCCTCCCACCTCTCTCTCCGCCCGATCCCTCTGGGTCTTCCCAGTGCACCAGGTCTGAGCACTTGTCCCATGCATCCAACCTGGGCTGGTGATCTGTTTCACCCTAGATAATATACATGTTTCGAGCATCAGGGTCTTTTCAAATGAGTCAGTTCTTTGCATTAGGTGGTCAAAATATTGGAGTTTCAGCTTCAACATCAGTCCTTCCAATGAACACCCAGGACTGATTTCCTTTAGGATGGACTGGTTGGATCTTCTTGCAGTCCAAGGGACTCTCAAGAGTCATCTCCAACACCACAGTTCAACAGCATCAATTCTCCGGCGCTCAGCTTTCTTTATAGTCTAACTCTCACATCCACACATGACTACTGGGAAAACCATAGCTATGACTAGATGGACCTTTGTTGGCAAACTGATGTCTCTGTTTTTTAATATGCTGTCTAGGTTGGTCATAAATTTTCTTCCGAGGAGCAAACATGTTAATTTCATGGCTGCAGTCACCACCTGCAGTGATTTTGGAGCCCAAAAAAATAAAGTCTTTCACTGTTTCCATTGTTTCCCCATCTACTGAAGTATTCCAGAAACTGAATGAAATTCCTGCAAAGTCTGATTATGTCCTGGCATGATGCTGTTTGCCCAAAAAATTGAGGCTCACGCTAAAAGGACTGAACTTGAGTATCAGGGAAATGCCCTCGCTGCAAAGGCAGTAGCAACAGTCTGTCAAGATTGTGGCACATGTGGATGAGGTCCATTCTACTTCGGCATTAACAAGGGAGGCCAGTGATAGGGCCATAAAACCTGGATTACCATTCTGGATTGTGTCCTGCCAGTATGGGTAACGTTATGAAGTACATTTTCTAAAATCTACTGCTTTTATGGCTGTGTTAGAATTCATGGAATCCTATGGAAAAGAGGGGGGGAAATAATAGGTTTTGTTTTCTTGAAGAGCAAAGGAAATTAAAAGAAAAATAAATCTATTCTCCTTGTAAAAGGACACAACTACCAAGATTTTCACTGGAATATCATGTTTGAGAGAAATATACGTAGTCTTATATAATCAGAGAGCCTCAAGAAACTTGCTTGGGCAAGCTAGTATTTTACTAACAAGGTTCTGGCAAAACAACCTTAATAAAAAAAATCTTATATGGTCAATCACTGTTTCTTGCTGCACGTGTATAAATAATCAGGCTGAAGTTAATACAAATTTAGCTTTACTCTAATTACCTATAGTAAAAAATGGGGGTAATTATAGAGAGAAAAATTATGTTTGTTCCTTTATAGATAGTAGGCTCTAATTTTGCTAACAGTATTTGAGGTGTTGTTATACAACTATAGACTGGACTCCCCTGGCCTACAGTATTGCCTATGGTCTTGCTGACTGTTCATAACACCACCTTTGGGAAACATAAACTCACTCCACATGAGAGAATCATGGTCAGACCAATGTCTATTGGTATACCACCTTCTGCTGATCCTTTGTAGTCTCCCGCTAGTATGACCATCTATTGTGTTACTCTGGAGCCTATTACCAACAGGTTAAAGAAGCTTTCCCCGATTTCCGATTTAGGGAAAACTTACTGGTCACTGTCTGGAGCCCAGTGACTGGAAAAATTCTGGAGACGTCATCAGAAGAAAACTGCCCTCGAGTTCCATTGAAAGCGAACTTACCAAGTGCTTCTGGCCACTCACTCTGCTGCAAAACTAGAAGGCAATGAACCTTGTATATCTATATCACATAGCTAAAGGAGACTCCAACTGACTTCTGGTCCTGTACAAACCCTGGAGACCTCCAAATCAAGTTGACAAGGATGACACTGTGGTGACAAGTGGACATCGATGACAAGTGAACATTGATGTAGACTGCTTCCATCCAAAATGCCAGACAGAGCAAGACTTCCCATTTCAGCTGAACTCAAAACCAGTTTTTCTCTTTCCTTTATCCTGGCACTGACCTGGAAAGATAATTCCATCAGCCGCAGCTTCTGGGCCATTGCCAAGGAAGGTAATCTTTAGAATTTATAAAAACTTCTTATTTCAGGCTAGGGGGAAAAGAATTGACTCCTGGCTTTAAACAGGCAAATGAAACAATTCTTGCAGATGAATCTATTTACAATGCCACCTTAGCGACAGGATTTATTTTTGGGGTGATTATCATCTCCTTGGGCTATGAAGGCCTAGGTGGCTGGTGCACAGCCGGGCGGTGACACTTAGTAATCTAACTATGACTCTAACTGTTCTTGAAAGGGCCTACCAGGAGGCACTTATGATTCAGGATTTGCTTTCTTTGGCAGGTCCCTACTTCCTGGTTAGGAATAAATGCAAATGAGGTTATGATCAGGAAACTCTCCTTAACTTTTGAAATCCAAAATTAAGAAATCTGCAAGAAATCCACTGCTAAGCAGTAGCTTCCCAGTAAAGATCCTTGGACGCTGGTGGAGGTTGTTCTCGATAATAGAGTAGCCCTCAATTATTCTCTTGCCAAGATAGGATGCGTTTGCGCTGTGGCTAACACCACCTCTTGTACGTGAATTAACACTTCCAAGGGAGTTAAAATTAAGTGACATATCATTAAAGAAGCCACCTGGCTTAAGATGACTCTGAATGCGGTCTTTCTTTGATTGGTTTCGGTCTTAGAGACCATAGCTTCAAAGCACACTCCAAACACTGGAAATTATCCTACTTACCATAATGATAATAATCCCCACTGGTGTTTTGTATCCTCTCAAAGGTTTTAATGCATATTTGCAGCTAATAACCTCCATGTGAAATATCTCCCTAAGATGATAACAACAGAAAAGGAACAAAGATAGTAACTAATATAACATTATGAACCTGGACCTGTGAAATGTCACAGGGCTTAAGCAAACATGTCATGACCCATGGATTCAGAGCAGTGGCTGAGAGGGTCACTAATGCCTTATTTTTTTTTTAATTTTTTTTTTAATCACATCTCAGTTATGCTGAGGGTATGATCAAAAGGGGGTAGTTGTTAAAGAAGCAAATGCAAAATGGAGTCATCTGCTTCCCCTTACCCACTACAGCAAACCAGGACTTAATTGTTCCAACTTCTCCCAGGAATGACAGCTTATTTAACAATGGTTAAAGACATGAAGGGGCTTCCCAGGTGCCTGAGTGGGTAAAGAATCTGCCTGCAATGCAAGAGACATAAGAGATGCGGGTTTGATCCCTGGTTGGGGAAGATCCCCTGGAGGAGGGCATGGCAACCCACTCTAGTATTCTTGCCTGCAGAATCCCATGGACAGAGGAGCCTGGCGAACTACAGTCCACAGGGTTGCAAAGAGTTGGAAACAGCTGAAGCGACTGAGCACAGCACAGCACAAACACATGAAAGCGGAATGTCTAAGACTGCTATGTACCATAATATCATCAAGATCATTTTTTATTTCACAAAACCTTCAGCTCCATCTATCCTGACTGTATAAATATTCCAAATATCTTGCAATTACATGCTACAAAACAGAAATTAATTTACTCAAAAAGATTTTTCTTCCAAATATTAGATTTACTGACTTGTGTAATTCTATCTTCACGGTAAATGATGGTTGATAGTGAATTAATTATCTAACATTAAATTCAAATATATGCATGGTTCTTAAATGTTAACATGCATCAGGATTCACCAAAAGGATGGTTAAAACCAGACTGTTGGAACTCTCACTTGTAATCAAGATCAAGTAACAAAGACCAGATTTATTCTCTCACCTAAAAAAAAAAAAAAAAAAAGACAACATTTATGAAACAAGGGTTTTCAAGATACTGGACACCAAACAATGAAAGGAAAATAATTCCTGAAAGACAGAAAACAAAGTCTGAATCTGAGACTGCCCCAGTTTACTGCCTTGTTGAGTGTTTCCAGGCCACACACAGCACAGAAAGGGGAACAGAGGAGTAGGCTGGCAAACTCCTGAAGCTAAAAGTCTGAGGAAATCAAACTTTAAGGCAGAGAGGAAAGAGCACAGAAAAAAACCTTGTACACAAAGAGATCTGCAGAGGGCTCCCCAAAGAACTCATACGCATAAGAGCTAAATACCCAAAGCCAAAGAGTGACTCATCAAATGATTAAAGAAAACACTGCCGGTTCCCATCAGCCAGATTAAAAAAAACACACACAATTCATGGGATGGTGAGTAGAGTACTCAAGGTCTCTTAGTAGTGAAGAAGAATTAGTTCTATACTGAACACTACTTCAAACCTACCTAACAAGTCATAAAAGACCTGAAAGGACCAATTGTTTCCAAATAGCTTAACTGCATGTGTGCTCAGCTGAGTCTGACTCTGTGATACCACCGACCATAGCCCACCAGGCTCCTCTGTCCCTTGGGCTTTCCAGGCACGAATACTGGGATGGACTGGTATTTCCTACTCCAGAGGATCTTCCCGACCCAGGGATCGAATCTGCGTCTCCTGCATCTCCTCACTGACAGACGGATTTTTCACTACTGAGCCACCTGAGAGGCTTAACTGCATCCTAGAGCAAAGCTCAAAACATTTCTAAGAACACAAAAATATCCACATCCAACAAAGTAAAATTCTGGCATCTAACCTAAGATTATTCAGCATACAAAGAAGCAGAGACACATGACCCATAATAATGAGGCAGTTCATCAGAATGAACTCAACTAACAGAGA